GTGTAGCTCTCACCAACACACATGATCGCTTACACGTGCATATTTATATAATTTATATACGCATTTCGTCAGCCAGCCAGTCATATGTTCTAAGCCTTTATTCATTAATATTCATTTATTTTTAAAAAATTAATTAATGTGAGTGTTTTTTAGGCACCCATCAACGCAATTTAGATCATCCAAAAAATTTTGAATTTACTGCAGTTTCTCAATCAATGATTAAAGTTTTAGTAGTGATAGTTTTACAGCACTTGCAACATAAATAGGCCATATTATTTTACGTGTTACAGAGATGTTTTAAGCCCAAAATTTTGAGTTTTAATTTGTTTAAAATTGAAGTCTTAAATAAAAAAAATGTGGCATTGGATGCAATTGCTCTAGAAATATTTTATAGAAATTCAGATGATAAATATTGAAAATATAACGCAAGAAAAGACACAAAATTGTAGGCACAATAATTGTTAAAAGAATTAAAAGTTTTTTCTCTCTCCTGAAAATTTCGGTAGGCCCTATTATATCTGGGCTTAGTACACTGAGCAGCTGGCTGACGATTTCTTGTATTAATTACAGTGTGTTTGTTCGAACAGATGCAACAATAAGGGGAAAAAAACCCAACAAGTCGTGTCTAGTTTTGTTTAAGTAGAGGGGAGCACATCGACACAAGAACGGTCATTTAGTGCTGGGGGAAAAAGGACAAAAGACAGACAGAAACAAAATAAAAGAATAGAGACCAAATGTGAGGTAGCATGGTGGAATCAGGCTCTCGTCAAAATAATCAAAGTGAAGAAACTGGCGTTTTTCCGCAGGTTTATGAATTTTTATCAAATTTTTGTTTTTTTGGCTCAAAACCTTTCATGCCTATTAAAAAACTTATTTCTGTGGAAATTTTCCTGAAAAAACGCAGATTAAAGGCACAAAAAAATTTAAATTTTAAGTTACCATTAAGCTAAGGAAATAACCAATCTTTGTCGGCCATTTTCTTACTAATTTCACATCTGAAAACAGGTGACCTCCACCTCCTTTTTTCGCAAATATCTCGACTTGTATTCAAGATAAATGGATATTTTTCCATCCAAATAAAGACAATTGAACAAGCTTTAAGATGATACCAATAACTCTACATGCCCAAAAATTGACGAGAGCCTGATTCCACCACACTGCCTCACAAATCATAGGAGCAACCCGTGTTGTGTCCGTTGAGAACGGAAGGAACATACAAATGTATTAGTATTATAAAGCTTGAGTAGCTTCATCGTTTGTTTGAGTAAAGAGACACACATCGACACAGTAGTGGTGGCCATTTAGTGCCGGGACAATGTAAGACAGAAAGACAGACAGACAGACAGACAGACAGACAGACAGAAACAACAGAAGGGGAAGTAAAGAAGTAGGATATACCAGTGGCGTCCTCCAACCACCCGCAGGTAGCTTAAGTAAACAGAATACTGACATAGCGGCGCTCTGACTTTGAGCAGGTTTTGTTCGAGTAAAGAGATGCACGTTGACTCAATGACCGTCATATAGCGCAGCCCACCCCCCCCCCCCCCAAAAAAAAACCCCACAACAACAAACCCATAGACAAAAGATAATATTTCATCATCCCTCTGGGACATTTTTCCCAGCTTTACTTTACTACAGGAATGGTAAAAACATATTATAGACATGATAATCTATAGCTAAAAGTGACAAACAAAACAAAATAAAACAAAAAACATACACAGGAAAGAAAGAGGCACTCACTACATCTTCACAGGAGACTGGCACAAATCTTTTAAGTTGAAGTCCAAATCAGCACAATTTAGGTTTAGGGAAACATGGAGGAGAAGGGGTGCTTTCACCATGCCTTTATTTGTTTGTTCGAGTAAAGAGAAGCACATGGACACAATAACGATTACTTAGTAGCACAATAAAAGAGTTAGAAAGACTAGAAAGATGCCAGAAAAGAGTTAGAAAGATAAGACAGAAACAGTAAAGGAAAATAACAGGAAACAAAAGAGCAGGATCTACAAGTGATGCCCTCCAACAACCCGTTGTCCTCTTAACACAAAACTTTACTCCTGCAGATCTCCACACTAAAACACAAGGCAGGAGACAAGCTCATCGGGCTCTCACACTAACTAATACTACAATCTTAACCCTTGCACTGCCAGACCAGCTTCAAATTGCTATCAAAGTGCTTACTTATACAGTTTCGGACGAGGAAATTAATGAATCAAGTCCCCACAGAGAGTACAGCGCTGCAAGACATCATGTAGGTAGAGATCACACACTGCTGCCGTTCACTCACAAGCTTTTTTTGCAATAAAAGTACACCTGGGCCTCCCGTAAGGGAACTTATTGACCTATTACTACAACACACATACAGGATCTCCTCTCGCCGCGGGGGCATATGTGGGTCACCCTCACATCACGCACTGAGCTGCAGACACTTTTAGGTTTTTAATATTGGGGTGGGTGGGGGTGGGGTCCAAATCAACTTTTTCACACTAGTGAAATCAAAGGAAAATACTTCCAGCCTAACATGACTCCCCGAGGAATTAGATAGACCTGAAACTAAGAGTAAAAACACAAAAGTATCGTCAAGGTATACATTTCAAATGTATACATACGTGTGTTTTTTAATTAACGCCTCCATTCAAACAATTTAGATAATTTAGCACTTTGGGCTTCTGAACCAGCCCGTCAGGGTCAACTCGGGCTGAAAGGGGCACAACATCCGAGCAGAAAGACAAGATTAATTCCAGACAGCCCAAAATGGCAGCACAGCCACACTATAGCAAAGTCAATACTGGTTGTAACAGTAACTGTCAGAACAAGCTACACATTTCCGGACCAACACATCCCACAGTACCCACATCTTAACTCTTAGAATATAAAATTTTAAAAAAATTAAAAGTAGGTGTTATATTTGGTCGCTTTTAAGCACAAGGGGCTATCCCAAAAAATGCTGTTTTGAGACAATCGAAGGTAAAATTCTCACCTCTTGTTCAGTATCTTTGAAAGACAAGGAGAGTTTTCTCTATGACCAAACAAATATACACACTAAAGAAACCAAAATTATCCTATAGGTAGAGCAAATCCCACTTTTGGTGTAGGTCAAGATTTCTGGAAACCCCCGAAATCTGGGTTAGCCCGCTTGTCCTTAAAAGTGATCAATTTACGCCCTCATCAACACAATTTAGAACACAATTTCGGCTCGAGAACCGGCCCGTCAGGGCCAATCCAGGCTGAGAGGGATGCAACATCCTCGCAGTAAAACTGCGAAACTCGATAAAACATTTCTCCCCAATTGGGAATTGAACTCGGGTCTCCTCCATGTGATGACGAAGCACCTACCACACTATACCAGACACTGGATCTTAGCAGACGTCATCTGGCAGCATGATTTGACTTTTGAATCAGTGAATGGCATCTCTCAGTTGTGTACGGCATTGACAAAAATCTGCGGAAACTCAGCCAACCTAAGTTATACATCCTTGGAATTTACATTAATTGAACAGAGCATTCATTTCTATCCACTTTTGGAGTGTACTTTATGCAAGTAAGTTAAGTAGGATCACTAGCAGCTGACAGAAGATTATTTCTCTGCGTGTGACATCCACCGGTACCAGCGGAAGGATAAAAGTAAAAATTAACATTAAAAAGTAAAAGTAAAAAAAAGGAGCAGAGTCAAAGGAAAATTTGTAATGCTGAAAAACTGTCAGCATTACAAACGTGGAATATCCTCCTCCCATATACTAAGAATAAGAGTGAGGGAACAAACCCCACAAGGCAATCGACCCACGAAAAGCACGTAAAAAAGAGGTTAGAAAGTAAGCAGCATATTTACAGCCACAGATCCCCCACGAACACCAATACGGCTTCACGGCAGTTCCCTCCGCCAGTCTGCGTATTCTTCATTACCATTTCAGTACCCAGGAGGACATACAGTGTTGCAGCATGTTAGGTGCACACTGTTATCATTCAAATTATAAGCCTACAATTTTCTAAAAAGCAGGGAGCTAAAAGTCAAACAGAAAAAAATGCCTGTGGCGAACAAAAGTAGAAGTTGGCATAAAGTACGACAAAGACCTGGAGATAGAATTTAGTTACATCAACTGTCACTGTCAAACGTGTCGCAATGCTGTGGAATCAGGCACTTGGCAATTTCTAGGCATATAGAGCTATTGGTATAATCTTAAAACTTGTTCAGCATTTTGCTTTTGATGAAAAAAGTATCCATCTATTTTGAACGGAAGTTGAGATATTTGCGACTGAAGGGGTGGGGTTCGCCCGGTGTCAGAGGTAAAATTAGCCAGAAAATGTCTGCCATCGTTTACTACGTTCCAAAACTTAAAGACTCCTTGAAAACTGCAAATTTACTTTTTTGTGCCTTTCATCAACGTTTTTCAGCACAGTCCACTCATAAATATGTTTTTGAATAGACAAAAGAAGAGGCCAAAAAAAAAAATTTATAAAAATTGCCCAACAATTGGATGAATGCCAGTTTCTTGGTTTTGACGAGGGCCTGATTTCACCACATAATGCCACACAAATAGACCTATACACGTACAAACATGATCAACAGAGGCGGTCTCTGAAAGAAGAATTGGAAAGACGGTACATGTACATTTGTACACTTGATACTTCTCATATGTCATATGACCTTACGCAGTTGCGAGCGCCGTAAAACCCTATACTACTACTACTACTTCTCATATTATTGCTTGTCACAAACAAGGGCGATCACTCAGTCACCACGGAGAATCGTAGAAGGAATCATCCACTCCAAAAGTCGATCATTTCCTCAGCACAGCTCTAAAAACCTTTTCAACTAAGTATATTGCCATGGATGTACGAAGAAAAGGACATGCCGGCAAGGAAGAAAATGCTTGACCATGAACATGAGGTTTAGATGGGTGGGTGGTCACTCTGATGTGTCCTTGATCAAGGCACAATAGCCCTAGGTAAAAGAAGACAGGGCACTGCACAGTGGCAACCAGCAATGACATGTTTGAACAATTTTCTGAATTGGCGTATTTGACATTCTTAGTAGGTATATTTGTGGGTTAGCTTATGTTTTAAGTATGTATGTTTGCCATTGTTAACTCAAATTTCTCCACAGGGATCAATAAAGTGCTACCTATTTTTGTACTATTTTACTTGAACTGTTTGCAGACAAAAGCGTGAAAAATCATTGCACAAAACAGCGTGGACACACAACAGAATCTGCTAATGCCAGCTCCTATTGAATCCAACACCCTTTTATCTAACTCGACAATTTCATAGAGCATCAATATATATAACAACAGTCATTCAGTACAGGGAAAAAGAAAGACAGACAGACAGAAACAACAGCGGGGGGGGGAAAAAAAGAACTTCCCACCAGCAGCACCCTCCAACAACCCGCATTGCGACAGTTATCCTTGTTCTTAAGTATAAAAAGAAAATCGACACAAAAGTACCAGACACAGACAGATGTACAGATCAACAGGCAGACACACGTCAAGGTGCAAAATAAAAAGAAAACCCAGCCTGCCTGCCTGCAGGCAAGCAGTCTGTCAGATCTGAGATGATGGATCACGGAGCAACATAGATGTCGGGAAATTCATAAAACAGTTCCAACAGATTCTAGCAATCTACACTTAACACCTCTACACCCTTTAATGAAATACCTTTCCAAAACAATACGAAGAATGTGCAAGAGATATACAGATGGTGTCAGGCATAAATGGGCAACTCCAAAACTTTCCAAATCCTGATTATTTATCCTGTCAGAAACAGGGTCAAATACATCATCGGTATAACGTTGTGTATCTAGTGTCTTTCAAATGTTATTCTATTTATTTATGTAAAATTTGAGTTTAAAAGGTCTAAGATAGTTTAATTTTGAAATTTTGTTCGCCTCACTTGTCAAATAAGCTTCTTGGGAAGGGCCCATCTGTGCCCCACACCATCAATACGGACAGAAACACTCCCCACACCCCAATAAACAGCTAGTAAACATATTCCAGGAGGTAAAAACAGACCGTGCTACACATCTTCTCCACGTGTTGATACCAGTTTCTACAAAGAAGGAGCACAGTTCAATAAAAGCGAGCCTAGGCGTCTACAACGAGCATGACAAAAACGCAAGGAAAATAAACCACAGAGAGGTATAATCCTTTTTTTTTTAAAAAGGACCTTATACAACATTAGTAACCAAGAAACAAATCTAAAAAAAAACTATTTTTCTGAGGAAATTTAAAAATCTGGAACCCACGACAAGAGATTTATGAAAAGGCCTATTTTTGACAAATATATACGCTGACATTTCAATAGTGTGGAGGGAGCGGGGGGCGCATTTTCACAGGTTTTTTTTCCCACAGCTTGGACTGGAGACAAGATAAGCGTGTATGTAAGTGGTGGTTTGCTGTTTAACGTCCTGTCCAAAAACACACAAAAATAATCTTAAGAGTTGGCCGCCCTTCTCAGCCGGCACAGACGCGGGTTTATCCCCAGCTTAATAGACCTCATCGCCATCGCCCGGTTAAAATGTCGCTGCTGTAATTTGGAGCCGTCTTGAGAGCCTGAGTCCTGAAAGTTTGTCTCGATGGAAGTGACCACGCCGAAAAGCACGCCGACCACCAGGAAGAGGATGATGAAGAGGGTGAGGTGGGTCACCGACGGGCACGGCTCCGTGTCCAGGTCCCGCAGGTGGGATTTGGCGGGCTGGAAGCCAGGGTTGAGCTCTAAGGCCTGGTGGAAATGCATGGCCGCCTCCTGGCTGTGGCCGTATGACTTGAGGATCTCTCCCAGTGTGTAGTGCTGCAGCCAAGAGTTGTCTCCTGCTGCCTGCAGGTGGAGCGACCGGCGCGCCAGGAAAATAGCGTCGTCGAGATACTGGCGGGGGAGGATGTAAAGTATGGGTTAATCCAG